CTGTCTGGCAGTTGCAGGCTTGTTCGGGTCAGTTCAAGCAAGCACCCTTTTCGTCAAAAAACAAAAACCCCTACATATTTATATATAACTTGTCTTGACTGGTTTGGAAGGTCAGAAGAGCCACCAGTTATAATTATAACTGATGATCATCATCCCCTTGATCCAAAAAACAAAAGACTCTTGTTGACATGATCATCTGTTTTACGTGATCATGAAAATCGAGGGATATATTCTCTAGTGTTTCGGATCCAGCCGACTTAACATCATCGGGAAGCATCAAGCTACCGAACAGGGTCGGCTACGTAGAAAATCGGGTGCTTCAAGAATGGAGATAGGCTGTTATTTAATGATGGGTCATGAACATCGGCACTCACGTTTTTGTCGAAGGTTCTTGATGACCAGTTCTGCTTTTTTTTTGTTGGGGGGAGGGGGGGATGGAGTTTTGAAGGAAAGTATCGATGAACTTGTATATATATATAATGTGATCACAGCGGACTAAATATATATGTAGTGGTCAGCAGCCGGTCACTGAAGTCTTTGTGCCGGACCGTATATACAAGAGGACGATCTTACCTCGCGGGTCTTGAAGAACAACAGAAAGGGGAGGAAGAAGGATGGATTGGGATCCGGAACTTAAAATAAATGAACGATGTGTTCTCTCTACAAAGGGTGACTCATGAACAGTCGACAAGCGAAATCGACATCAAGCAAGCCTTTTGGTTGGCTTTCTACAACTGAGGATGGCTTCGGGGGGCTTCCTTATATATCTATCCCCCTCCCCCTCTCCCAAAAAAACCCCAATCCTTCTTCTTCTTGTCGTTCTTCCCGTGTTTGTGGTCTTCTTCTTCTTCTTGATCGAGTGCCGAGATCAATCAAGGATAAGAGGACCATGCGGAGTATGCACACAAGCAGTGTTGGGAAGCAGCGCTTTAATAGAATGAAGCACTGCAGAAATCCTCGATGTCTTCTTGATTGAGGGTCGATTTGAAGATGCTTATAATGAGTTCAACAGCTTGGATCAACCCATCTCGAATGCGCTCGAGCTTTGGATATGTAGAGATAAGCAGCAAAAAAAAAGGGCCCTCGATGATCACAATAACGAGCTGAAGTTCTTTGGGGGCCCATGAGGATGGGATGGGATGCAAAAGGAGGAGGAGGAGGAAGATGAAGGATCTGCCGCTAGGATGAGAGAACATGAACAGCTCATCGGCCTGGATCACACCGCCGCCCATTACATATCCTCCCTCGGTCACTCTCCAAGTCATCATAAATGTATTGGACTATAATGGAGGATCCCTTTCCTTTCTTTACCAATCGTCGACTTGCAGATATCCATACATCTAACTCGATCCCAAGACCATTCTGCAAGAAGCAAATTTATAAGAGAAAAGAGAACAGAGTCGACGGACTCATCACTCACTCACACACTTACACTACACACACGCCAAAGCAAAACAACAACAACGATTCCTGGTTGACTGATTGGGATTGCTCAAAAGGGGCGACTCTGGTTGATAGAAGGAAGTAGCGAGCGTGCTATGTATCAATATTCGACCAGAGAGACACCTGAACGGCTGCTCTGTCCGCCTGCGTTTTGATTCCGATTTTCGGGCTTGCAGATGGTTTTCGATAAGAAGTAAAGGAGCAGGAGGATAAATCAAAAAGAAGAAGAAGAAGATAGACGGACCCAAGCAGAAAAGGACTCACATCACAGGGCCCGGGGACACCGACAAGGTGTGCAGGCAAATAATTAGAGGAACCACACAACCTAAAAATTTTTTAGTCCTTTTTTAAGCCTGGAGCAGAGCAAACAAATTACAGGGTCAACGCCCAAGTCCGTCTCCGTCAGCCCCCCCTCCCCTTTGATGATGATCATCATCAACGATCAGAAAAACCTTCAGCTGGCGTTCATTAGAAACTCAGACACACTGACTTACAGAGAGAGAGAAAAGACACAGAGATCAGGGCAATTTGATGGCTAATAGTCGAAGATCCGGATTTTCTAATCAATCAGACAATCCTCAATGTCTCTCATCATCATCTTTATACCACCACACTGGGCAGGGACTCGGCAATCGAATCATCATGATCTCAAAAACTCGACATTTGTTTCGCTTTCGTTCGTTCGAATTCGGTCGGTCGGTCTCTTTGTTTTTTCGAGTATGGATCTCCACGGGTTCGAGAGGTGACTGGGATCGGGTGTGTACATGTAGGACTGATATTGTGATGAAGGATGAAGTGAAAGAGAAGCTGTGTTCCCGCAAGCGCAAGCTGATCCATGGCGATCATCATCTGGATCTGGACATGCTCTGGAATATGTATGTGTGGACATCGCATTATTTCAAAAAGAATAGGAAATTAGACCCGGCGCGCCATCAGTACATAGTTGATTTCCAAGTCCAAATTAGTGAAGAAGATCAAAATCAAGAATCTTTGGACAAGAGTCTCCATTCAATCATCATCATCCTGATCAAGAGGATTTTGTTCATCAAGCAGGAGGAAGGAAACACTCTGGCAAGCCGGGATATATTTGTAATACATCATCTAGTCAGCCAGTCACAGCGCTTGTCCAGTGATGATGGGTTAAATATAACTCCGACTTGCATCAACCCCACAAAAAAAAAGAAAGAAAGGCTGCTGTCGGAGATGATTGAATGGTCTATGATTATTTAGGTTAACGTTTCCTTTCGGATGGCCATGGGGCCCGGCAGCCGGCTGATGTTGTAGATTCTCCATCCGTCCATCTTTGCATATTTAGATCTTTCTCTTTTAGGAGATCAGCTTGCTTTGCTTTTCGATGTACCATCTTCCTCAATGTGTGGATATAGTATGTCAGAGATCCTCTTGGCTATCCCAGCTATTTACATGCTCATCAAAGTCATGAAACCCCGCCAGCCTATTATTCTCCCGATTCCCAAGCATGCGTTTTTCCCCATTAGATTAGAGCCAAGAACATCTCTCTATACATAGAGAGAAGGACTGAAACCCCGCAAGAAGAATAAAGTTTTTTTTGGGGGGAGGTGATAAGTTATCAAGATCAATCGTTCTCTTGATGAACCAATTGCCGCCACATTTTTCAAAACTCCGCAAGTCCCGAGTTGATGGTGATGATGGTGATGATGATGATGCCCCCGAATCGGTCTTGGGAGTCGGGACGAGACAGCTTGACTGGGGAGGTCCCTCTCCAATGCTTGGCCATCAACCACGACCAACTTCAATGCTGTCTGCTGCACACCACCCACACACACACACAAGGGAGTATCTAGATGATCTGTGGACGTCATGATCGGTCAGAAGAATCGTCCCGGGTGTATGCACCCGATCATATATGTTTGCAGATGGATGATGGATGTGTGTGAGATTTATTAGGATTGTAAATATTGTAAGCCAGAACTAGAGAAGCTCGTCGATCGCAAGAAAACTGGCCCAATATTGTTCGGGACTCGGATGACGACCCACCCGGCCGGCGAAGAAAAAAGCGGAGACTGCTGGAGACCGTCGGCTGGTCTTGATTCTTCCCGTCGCGGGCCGACTACTGCATAGCTGAGCATCCACGATCGCCGGAGATCATCAGTGGTTTTTTCAGGGAGCCGCCCTAGGTCAGCCAAGTTGAACGGCCTCCTCGGAAGGCGATACACCGTTGACCACCGATCAGTCGACACACCCAGCTGTCCCACAGCTTCACCGAGGAGCAGTCTTTTCTTCCTGTGGGATTGCTATGAGCTGGTATCTAGGCTGCCATATATTAATTCTACCGGTAAGAAAGAGTCCCTCCGGGGGGCTGGGTGGTTATCGGCTGCAGGAGATGGGGGGGACATCATGGGAATGGCTGTGCTGGTAAGAGCCGCACCGGCCACCGACAAAGAATTCTCACTAGCAGGGAGCTGGGACGGGGTATACCAGCTTGACGGCTCTCCGAGGTGGTCTCCTCCCCACCGTGCCGAAAATTAAGAGTATGTAGTACGTAAACTGCCTCGCCAAGGATGGGTTCTCCCCGGAACGGAAGTCTCCTCGACGGCCAGCTGGTGCATGTCGTATGCAGCAGGTCCTCATCAGAAGAAGTAAAAAACAAACAGTGGATTTAGCGGCTACGTCCCTCAAATTCGACTGACCTTTCCCAACCCGGGATGCAACCATGAAAGCACAATAGTCAGCTCAAGACTACTGGGCCTTTCTTGAGCAATTGAACTGTGGCACAGTTTTAGAATGTCTGCCCGCCTCATCCCAATCCTCCCCCATCCCAGCTCACCTGTGAATCAGATCAGGGAACACAATATTTCCATCTGCATTTTGCTTTTTGGCATCATGATTGTCTTCCCTTCTTATTTTGGGTGGGTCTAGACGGGCATCTGGGGCAGGGGAATGTCCCTGAAGCTGGAAGAGGATCCTGACACACCCGTTTTATGGTAGCAATCTTCAATAACATGGTCATGTCATACTTTCAGCACTATCTCAAATCAGATCTAGTGGAAATAAGATTGTTGTTGAAAGAACTCGGTTTCCTGTGGTATATTTGAACTGATACACACATCAGTCAATGATATATCATTGAAAGATTCTCCAGAAACTGGTGGATCAATTGATAGGCTAAGATATTCTGCAATTTCTACCAAACAATATGGTACCATCCTAATCACTTGAATTCCTCTGAAAGGTAGAAAATATATTGTATCTGCTGTTGGAATTTCACTCAACCTCTCTCTCTATTTTCTTTTACTTCACTAATATGTCACTCTTTTGTTGTTAAGTCAAGAATGATTGATCTTGATTCATATTCATCATGCATCAGTTACTGCCCCCACAACTTGATCATTTTGTATCTAGATTATTTAAAGATCTCCAGAAATTAAGGAATTACAAACATCAGTCTTCAATGTTTTTATCTGGTCCTAAGAGGACACTTAAGCCTCATCTTAGCTTAATCCAATCCCACTTTAGCCCAATCGGTTAAGTATAAAATGAGGGGGTTCACATACTGCTGATTTCAAATTCAGCCGTCAAACTTTGTTGGAATCATGGCTGTTTTAAGGTTTATGGGAAAGCAAAATAGTTTAGTGGGAGGTACCCCTTAACTATGGATTCAAAATCCCTAATTTAAATTTCATCAAGTTTGTGCATCAGCAAACAAACCTTGTTCAAGACCAGCACAGGATTGGCTGGAATGTGAACTACCCTAATTCTCGCATATCCTGGACTCTTTCCACTATTGACTTTGTCAAACGTTTTCCCCATTCCCCGGTTTTATTTCAACATCTGCAAAAATGTGAATTTCTTTATCAGCCATTCTCCAAACTCTTTCACCCAATAACAAACTTCTTTCTTCAAAATGATATGCACTGATGAAAAACAGGGATTATTTTTGAAACTAGAAGGAGAACTGATATATCAAAAAACAAGAGTGGTTGAGATTTTTAACAAAAAAGATTGAAAAATAAGAAACAATCAGAAAAATAGAGGAAGAGAAATTTACCATCAGTAGAGTTTTCTTTTGACTTAGACAGAACAGAAAGGCTTGAATAAATGAGATCAAAGAGGGATGGGTAATAGAAACTGTTTTTAGACAAGAAGAAAGAGAGATATAGGAAATAAGAACAAAGGTTAATGTTTTAGTCCACAAGATTCAAAGAGAGTTGATTATATTTTCTCACCCAATTGCTGAAATCTAGATGAGTATTTCAAGAAAGAGAGTTGGCCAAACAAGGATGAGAGGTGGTTGGATTGAAGTTGAGATGATGTGTAGTCAACACCAATTAGAGTGAACAAGAAGGGAAACAAGAGAATGAAGATAGAGAATGAGGGAAGATAAGAAACAAAGCTGGACAGAAATGAAGAAGGGAATTGCTGAAGGAGTTGAAGGTGATTGGGGATGATGTTGAAGACAGGCTTAGCAGTTAAGGCTGAGATGTTGTTTTGTTTGATAATAGTCCATTGCTTGTGGTTTAGATGTTGGAGACTGCTGAGGAGAAGAAGTGGGAGATGGGAAAATTGAGCTTCTATTTATACATGATTGGTCAAGGTTTGACTTGTAATTGAGGGATGATTGTATTGGTTAGGTTAGATGTTTGAAGAAGAGTGAGTTGAGAGGCTGAGACAATTTGGAGGAGAAGATGTGGATGGAGAATGTGTAAGAAGAAGGAAGACAAAAAAAGGGAACAACAGGGGGAGAGTCAAGGGGGAAGGGATGAGACTGAGGGGAGAGAGAGAGAGAGCAGAAAGAGAACAAGGAAGATTGAGGGGGAGAGCGGAGAGATTCCAACATGCACCAATTGAGTTGAGTAGTTTTCCCAAATAAAATTCATATGAATCGTGCACAGAATCAATTTTCCTCATTGTCAGACTTGGGATGCTTACCGTTATTGGCTGTAGTATCTGTAGTCTTGACAATGGTAGATAGATGCAATGCTGAGTAGAATGAAGTAAGGATAAGATCAACGATAGTCAAAGACACAGCTCAGAGAGGTCTCAATGAGACTTATGGCTTTTTCCTGCAGCTGTAAGCTGGCACAACCAATCTCAAGACATCTCAGATTTGGGAAGAGGTTAACACTAGGGTTCCAATCTGGTGCCTTGGAGCCAAATTCCATGCATCCTGCACCTTGTCAGACACTGAGACACTAGTCCATGTGTCTACATGAGATTTTAACCCCTCCAGGTTACATAATAATGAATATTATTATATTTATTCTTTAAATTAGTAAGTATTTATTTAATTTTATTCTTTAAATTAATAATCATTTACCTCTGTACATATTTATCTCTCTCTGGATAATTAATGTACCTCTCTCTTCAAAATAAAAATCAAATTGCAAAGGATAATTATCTCTTGCATTAGAGTATACACTCTCAACGGCAGAGAGAGATTCCTCTCCACCGCTGAGAGTCCAGCACCAAATCCCAACCTCCCTTGGGGCTTTTGAGGATAGACTCCAAAAAAAACCCCTGGGTTTATTTATTTATTTATTTATTTTTTTGGGAGGATTGAATCCCAAACCTGTTGAAGGTTTGGGAGGTCTGACTCCCATCTCTGGGGGTGGACAGCCTGCAGACCATCCGCAGGGGGTCTTGGCAAACTCCCAAAATATGTGAGAGTCGGAACTCCAATATTTGGGCGTTGTTTAACTAAGACCTTAGATTTTTATGGAATTTATTATTTTTATTTGCTATGACAGGTTGTCTCTGCCATAGTAGCAAGCTGACAGAAATACTGCTTTGAAAAGAAAGGGGTTCAGGAGAGGGGGGAAGTCTGAGCTGAGCTGCCAACCGGTCTTGATGCAGGTAAT